ATACAGTGTAACCACTGCAGGTCTTTGCTGGGCTGCTGGTAGTTCACACTCCAGTCCAAGGCACCATCTACATTCTATTAGTTTCGGCTCTGCTGTTAGTTTTAGGGTTAGAAAAATATTTCAGAATATTATAATAATTACGACAACAATTTCTATTATTATTATTATTATTTGCTGTTGTTGTAGTAAGGGTAGTAGCAGCAGAAGTGGCTACTTCAATAACAATATTATCGTTAAAAGAAACTTACCGACAGATGAGTTGTCGCCGGTGGGAAATATAAACAAACTGACAACCGCTAGTTTTAAAAGGGCCGGAAATAATGAGGTTATCTTAGATGGTGCTAATGATGACGACGATGATGATGTCATTGTTGATGACGGTGCCGTAACTGATGACGATAATGACGATTATTCTATTCGCGCACCTAATTTTATCAACAGAAGATAATTATCAAATTGAAATGTCGAACAAATCCAATCTTCATCTAAATTTGACTTTATATAAAAACAACCCAATCATCATCACGTACAAATGCTTGCCACTTAGCACTATTTAATAATAACTACAGTGATTAAAGAGAAACACGTTCGCTGCATTGTTAGAATCTCGAAGCTTAACAATGGTGAAAGGGAGTAACACACAGACACACAAACAAAAATTATATGATGAGTACAAGCAAATCCTGCATGTAAATACACATAGCATAGGCTTATACATGTTGGATATTTATATAAGAAATAACCATTAAAATACCAAGATATCATTGATACATAGAGAGCACAAAACGAATATATAATATTTTAAACTTTTTTTTTTAAATGAATAAATTTTTGATAACTGATGCTAATCTTAATTCACTTTTAACCGTGATAAATCGTTGTATTTTGAATTTTTACATAAATATGTGTGTGAAAATGTGTATATAAATATATGTATATATATAACTATATATATATATATATACAGTATATATATATATATATAAGTGTATATATATATATCAAATATAAACAGATATTTGTAAACAATAAATGACAGAGTGAATTGAATAAACAAACAAATGAATGAATGAATGAATGAATGAATGAATGAATGAATGAATGAATGAATGAATGAATGAATGAATGAATGAATGAATGATAAATGAATGAATGAATGAATTGATTGAACGAACGAACAAACGAATATAGAAACAAATATGGTCTGCTGTAGAAAAATTTTTCATCATCGTATCGCATTTTGCAAAAAAATTTGCAACAAAAAAATTTGCAACTACAAAAAACAAACAGCAGCAAGTAGCTTCTCTGGAAATGTTCTTGAACGAGGTAACTGAATGCAGGCAACTCAGTAAATTTTGAAAATCATCAGCACGTTGAAAGCAGAGAAAAGATGATGAGCAAGGAAGCCGAACAAGTTGCAACGCCACTTGGTTCTTTATCAGTTGATGTAGTGTGTGGCTGAGTTTCAGTCGAAACTGGGCCAGGAGGTTTTGTCGAGGGGGCATCTGGTTTCTTAGTTGGGACATCTGGTTTCTTAGTTGGGACGTCTGGATTGGGGTTACGAGTTAAGAACTCGTAGCCGGTATAAAAGTAATCGCATATAAGTGAATCTATCCCAAATTTTGACACATTCCAACGTGGTCTTTCTTTGTCAATTAACTGATAATTTTCGTCCCTTGGTTCCAAGAAAATATAAATCTGATATCTGTGGGGTTCTGGTCCAACAGGGGATGGTGGAATAAATTCTGCAAGTGATGAAAATATTGTTTGCGATAGTTTCATTATATATTTATTTCCATTAAATTATCCTATTGTTTGAATGCTGTAAATATTTTTTTAATCTCTGGAGTAAATTGAAGTGATTTACACAAACTATAAAAAGACATTAAAATTTTTTAAAAATTTTGTGGTGATTTTAGAATCAGTTTCATCTTATCATTAAATATGTTCTTTTAACAAAATTTTCGTGCACAAAAAAGCAAAAATATATACTGAACTCAAAGTTACTAAGATATTTAACTTACCCATTAGGTCATTTTTGCCATCACTAGTTATTCCCTTTTGCAAATCAACGCCCTATAAGTTAACAAATATTACGAAACATAAAATTAATTTTAAAATTTTTACATCACTATTTTACCGTTATATTCTTTTTTACCCAATGCAGCCAATAGCGATCAGTGGGATTCTTAGGATCTGGAGCGTCCGGATCGACCATCACAACCATGTACATAAAAGAGTCGACCTGAGTTTATAATTGAAGTTTTTCCACCACCGTTTTAAAATAATTCATTTAACTCTTTAGAAACATTTCAAACGAATGATCAAGTTTCCACGTCCGACAGAATTTTAACATACAATCATTTTTTAAATTTTTTATATTTTTTGTAAAGTATTTCAAACAACAATTGGATAGAAAATAAATGTAATCCCACCGCTTGTCCGTAGATGACTGTCGGTGCACTCGCAGTTTGAGATTGAGGTACCTCGACTCCGCAACCGGGGTAGTCTTTAAGATCCATTTTTCTATAACCCATTTTGGAAAGATTCTCGCAAAAATCATCGACGGGTGGCATGCGACAGTAGTTTTTACCTCCAGCAACATCGATGACTGAAACACTCGCAATAATTAATAAGAGCAACGAAGTGCACGGCGAAGAAAGCAACCTCGCCATTATTTTCGCTTGATAGTATCGTGTGAAAACTCAATCTGATCCGCTAACGAACGAATTCAAATGGAACGGTTGGAATCTGTTATTATGATTTTGGATTGGTTACGTCAAACTAAATATTTCGTCAGCATAGAACAATAATCTACGCGTTTTCATTTGATAAATATTATTTTTATTTCGATTTTGAAGCGCTTCAGTTCAGCTCAGGGATGGTGCGGAAGAGTATGCTAGGAGGAAGTTTTACGAGGATGATATCTATAAGAAGTACGTTGACGCTAAAAATGTTGCGCCCCACCACCACCTCCAAGAGGATGACAATGATGGAGATAAAAATGATGATGGCAGAGGTTGCTATGGCAACAGAGATAAGAGAGGTAGGTGGCTCTATGGTTTTGATAATATCGTTCATGATAAGCCCGCCATAGCGTTTTCATAGTACCAATATAACTGCTTGTACCATTTGTAATCAGTCATAACTATTTTAATGTGTATGATGAATATGTATTTTTTTCTAAATCAATTTTTTCAATTTTTTATTTAGATTCAGAGGAGAAACAGCAGACTCAACAGCAACATTCAGCAAGAACAGACAACAGCAACACGGACAGACACCAGCCGACGTATCAAACAACTCGTCAACAGCAACAGCATGCTAGACAACAGCAATCCCAGCAACACTCAAGGCAACAACAATTGCAACAGCAACAAAATTCACGATCAAGTCATCCGCCTCCCATATTTTTGGACCAGGCACATGAGAACAAACACGATGAAAGCCATTTTACCAATCTTAAGAAGCAGAGACCTGCTACAACTAACATATCTGCTTCTACTACTACTAACATTACTACTACTACAGCTGCTACATCGGCTACTGCGAATAACCCTACCACAAACAACATCGCAACTGGCAGTAATTGTAGTAGTGGTAATGTTGTTGTTGTTGGTAAGAGCGATATTTCTTCACAGTTAACACAGTTGAATCAAAGTTTATTTATTTACACATTACAAAATTTGTTAAAAATTTCGAAAATTTATAAAAAATAATTTGTGTCAACTACAGAATTCGATTTATTTATGATTAGTAAGGATTTGTTAATTTAAAAAAAAAGTGATTAAAATTAAAAAACATTTAGTTTATAATATTGCTAATAGGAATAGATATAAGGTAACTTATTTTAATGTATTGTATTGTATTGTAATGAATTGTGTTGTATTGCAATGTAAAATATTGTATTGTATTGTAGTGTATTGTATTGTAATGCTATGTAATGTCAAAATGAAGTGAACATAAAAAGTTAAAAATCAACCAGTTAAATCACAAAAATATATAATTAAGATTTAATGAAAACAATTTTCTGGGCGTCGGTCAGTTCAAGATTTTAAAATAAATAAATATATGATAAAGGAATGAATGCAATTGAAAGACAAAACTCATTTCCTCATTTCAGAGCAAGTAAATTTACAACGGCAACTGCCTAACATCATACAACATTTCTCCATCTACTCTCATCCGTCTAAAGTGAACGATCCATCTTTCGGTTTGAACATTAGAGAACATTTGAAACCGCATTAAAAACACGCCACCAATGCTGTAGCACAAAAACCAAAATTGCACTTCAATAAATTCAAATAAAACCAAAAAACTGTCAAAAAACCCAAAAAATTTTAACAGGAAACTATGAACTAAACTCTAAAAAAACCAAAAATCGCCCCAAGACAGGCCAACAAAGCCAAAATCATTCCCCTTGAAGATTCAAGTCCGTGAGAAGCATTGCAATATTGGCCCTCACTACATAGGCACTTGTTCGACGTGACTCCATTGTAGGTTCTGGTTTTGCAGTCATCGATGGTGCTGGCAATCAGTGAACTGCAACCTTTTACTGTTACTGAGATGCCTGTGTGTGTGTGTGTGTGTTGGTGTGTGTGTGTCTGTTTCTGTGTATGTGTGTATGTTTGTGTGTGTGTGAGTATGATGAATTTGTGACGTGTGTGTGTGTGTGTGTGTTTGTAAGATCGTGTGAATATTTTTGTGAAATTTTTTTTTATGGTTTCAATAACGAGATGAAACAAATCCCACAGTGTCATTACCCCAAAATCTAACCGTTGGACGTGTAGATGTTTTTGAAGCAGGCCATAGATCTGCAGGTGTATAAAGTTTTGTTGACAGGGTCGTTGCATTGCTGGCCAACACACATGACGCATTTTATGTTGTTGTAGTTGTTGTAGTTGTTGTTGTTGAGGATGTTGTCGTTGTTCATTGATAAGACATCTGTCGTCGTTGTTGTTTTTGTTGTTGTTGTTGATGTTGTGTTGTTGTTGTGGTTTTTTGTTGATGTTGGTTGTGTGTTGTTTTTTTGTTTTTTTGTTGTGGTTTTTTGTTGTTGTTGTGTTGTTTTTGTTGTGGTTTTTTGTTGATGTTGGTGGTGTGTTGTTGTTTTATATCTTTGCCAAATTTTTGGTTAGTTTTTGTTGGTGTTATTTTTACTACTACTACTACTACGGTTTCTGTTATTATTATTATTATTAATTCTTCTTCTTATTATTATTATTCATCCAAAACAACAACAACAACAAAACAGCAGCAGCAGCAGCAACAACAACGACAAACCAGCTGTTGGATTGGTATAACCATTGCAGTAATCAACATTACACGTGCATATCTCTGCAGTTGAACCAAGAATGTTGACGTTACGACAGCCGATTGTGTAGTTGGTGGTGGCTTGTGGTGGCGACTTCAGACATTCTCTCGTTATCAGTTGTTCGCCTGTTGCGGTTTTGTTAGAGTTGTTTGTTGCGGGTGCAGTATAGAAAATATACAAAACAAAACATACAAACATAAAAATACAATACAACAATATACGAAAATCAAAACATGCAAGCAAAAGAATACAATACCTGACATACAAAACATAAGGTACAAACAGATCAATAAGTTGCAAGTCATACCTAACAAACATACAGGCATTAAGATGCCAATAATACAACGACATACATGACAAACATACAACAACGTACAATCACAAAACATACAAAAACATACAATCACAAAACATACAATACAAAAACGTACCGTTATAATAAGCAGTAATTTTTTGACACCACTCGCCATTGCATACGTTCACTTTATCTTTCTCAACGTAGTAAGTTGGGCCGCAGTTAGAATCAGCTGGAGAGCAACTGAAACAGTTGATAGAAGATACTTTTGGCAGGTTGGTGATGATGAAGATAGCGAAGATAACGAAGACGTTGTTGATGTTTTTACCGTTTCGTGACGTCATTTTGTTGTTGTTGTTTTCCAAGAGGTTTTATTTGTATGTTGTTTGGAAGAAGGTTTTATCAGAAGCTGTTAAAAGATTTTGAGGTTATTTCAAGGGAGGTTATTTCAAATTCTTTATATCTGAAAAATGTTTAGTTTAGCAAAAATGTTTTATCAAACTTGATAAGAAGTAAATATTTAAATAAAAAAAAATTCTTAAATAAAAATTCTCACAGAAATGTCTAGGTTAACATAAGTAAAGAAATAATGATGCTGGTTATTTTATTTATTTATTTAAATATTTTAATTTATTCAATCAATTAATGATGATTAACATGGGAAAAAGCAATAAATTGTGAGAATAATCTTTTTTTTTCAATTACGAATAAAAAAATTTACACACACAACTCTAAAATCGCGTTCAATTGGTATGAAAGTAAAGATATCATTAAGCAAAATATCAAAAGCAAGATATCAAACCAGACAAAACACTCCTGCTCTATTGTATCTATATCATTATGATAATTGCAAATTTCCATTATGATACGGTACGATACTGTAACTGAAATTTAAACATACGTACATACACATGCATACAAACATACATACACACACACAATACATACAAACATACATACATACACACACAATACATACAAACATAAACACACACGCACAATACATACATACACAGACACAAACAAACCTCAAAATACCAAAAATCTTGCCAAACTCTGACCGAACCAAGAGACCCAAGCCGGCTTATATATTAATAAAAATCTGACAAATTTTAAAACAGCATTAAGGTATTTATACCATAAATACGCATACCTGCATACACACGTGCACATACACACATGCATAAACATAAACACACACGTATATATACACACATAAGGTATGTATACCTTATGTATGTGTGTGTGTATTAAATGTACATATACAAATATATGCTGTATATAAATGTATTTAATTGTGTTACATAGTGTTGGTTCAATGTTTGTTTGTGAGGTCTAAAACGCTATTTGGATCATGTATGCTAGTATGCGTGTGAATGTGTGTGTACGTGTGTGTGTGTGTATGTATGTGTGGTTTGTATGCCTACATATATACATGAATTCATACATACCTGTTAATTAGTTAGTATTTGTTAGCGTTAATTATTTTAATGCATTTTTGTTGTACAACTACGGAATGTGGGTCACGTACACACACGCAAACACACACACACATACATTGTATGGTGATGGTCATACATACACACAAATACACACATCTGCTTAGCAATACAGGTAAATCTGCTTAGCAATACAGGTAACTAAAAATAATTTAGTCCAGATTTATTAAAAGTAATAATGGCACATTGAATTAACTCAGAACAATACAAAACAGCGCTAACAACCGCATAAACAACAACAACACACATAAAACATCACACATATACGCAAGTATACATACAAAAACCACAGGTAAATACAATCAAACAAACCATTAAACAAACAAACGAACCAACCAACCAACAGACAAACCATCAAATGAACGATCAACATCACAGATCTAACAAATCATGAATAACAATAAAATTGACCCACTATAACAACGCGTCACGTCTCAATAACAACAATCGATCACGTTTGAGATAACAACAACACCTACACGTGGCACAATGCAACATACACACAAACACACACATTGCACGTGATAAGTTGGGATCCACTTGCATTCGAAATCGGTCACCGCTTAAGAGTGAGCAGGCACGTTAACAATTCCTCTATCCCACCGCCTAGTATTACCAAATTAACCAGAATTTGAAATTCGGACAGAGTTTTTTCTTCCTGATTTACCGTATGTATTCACAATCGCATGAACAGAATCGAGAGTTTATTATAAAACTTTTATTAAAGAAAGAAATTTCCCCTCTTTCTCTTTCTCTCTATCTCTCTCTCTATCTTTCTATGTGTCTCTCTCTCTATAAATATATATATATATATATATATATATATATATATATATATATATATATATATGCGTACATTTATATTATATATTACGAAACATATGGAAGACTAGTTCATATCATGGATAAATACGTGTTTTATGCGTTTTGAAAAATATATTTAATTAAACTGATTAATTAGCTGAGTAATTAATTGAATAATTCAAGAATAATAAATAATTAATAAATAAGATAATTGATAGATCTATAAACACGCGCAAATGCCTTTGTCTGTTTAATGAACTCAATGAAATAGCAATGTAGAATAATTAAGAAAACCACGAGAATGAATGGATGAATGAATGAATGGATGAATGAGTGAATGAATGAATGAACGAACAGACAATAAAAACACACCAAAATCATAAACGAAAAGAATGAGAACATGAACATGCAAAATTAATTTTTTCTAATATAATCTAAAATTTCCCAACAATTCAGTCAATAATAAATTAATTCATTAACTCATTCATTCACTAATGCATTCATTCAGTCATTCACTCATTCAAATACAAAAAATGTAATATATATATACATATATATATATATATATATATATATATATATATATATATATATATATATATATATATATAAATACGTACAGCGATTGAACAAAAAAATATTATGCAACATTCTCTAGTCAGTAATTCATTCAATTCATTCACACATTCATTCAACTAACCAGCCAGCCAACCAACCGACCAACCAGCCAATCAATAAGCCAACCAACTGACCGACCAACCAGCCAACCAACCGACCAACCAATCAACAAACCAACCAATCAATAAGCCAACCAACTGACCGACCGACCAGCCAACCAACCGACCAACCAATAGACAAACCAACCAGCCAATCAATCATCCTAATTTTCAATCTCGTCTAATAAACTATTGTTCTGATAGCTCTTCTTCACATCTAGGAATGGCCTCTTGCCAGGGTTAGTATTGGGATCGTTCTGCTGTGAGTGTGCGCTATTATGGCGCGAGACAACTTCGTCTAGATCTACGTAATCCATATTTGGGCAGAAGGAAAGATCCAGAAGTTCTAACCTAGTGCATCTATCTAGGAGCCTGTGCGTGTGTGGTGCGTGTGTGTATCTACATATATGCGTATAGCATTCAATATATATCATTTGTTCGTTCGTTCGTTCAATCATCTTTGTAGCAAAAAATACAACGATTGGCTATTCTGTTCGTTTAGTAGCTCACTGAATCATTCATTCACTCACTCACACTTTCTTTCGATCAATCAATCATTCATTCATTCTTTAATTCATTCATTCCCTCGCTCACACTTTCTTTCGATCAATCATTCATTCATTTATCCTTTAATTCATTCATTCGCTTACGTCACAATAGATGCCAGAGTGACTGAAGTGCCAAGGAGATCCAACTGCTCGAGTCTGGGGCAGCCGTTATAAATGCACTCAACATCGAAGTCATATACGGTTCTGTGTGCGTGTGTGTGCAGGTATCAATCAATCAATCAATCAATCAATCAATCAATCAATCAATCAATCAATCAGTCTCATAACTTAGTCAGTCAATCAATCAATCAGTCAATCAATTAATTAATCAATCATTCAATCAATCGGTCAATCATTCAATCGACTAATATAAATCAATCAGATAACTTGCCTGTGAGCAGTGAGGAATAGCTTTCTCAGATTCGGACAAGACTCTGCAATGACTTGAACAAAATCCTCATCAAATCTTAGACTTTTTCTGAATGAATGAATGAAAGGACAAATAAATGAATGTATGAACGAATGAACTAACCTTTATGTAATCAATCCATCAATCTGTTGTTTATTTATCAATCAAACAATTCACTCGCACATTCATTCACCTATTAATTCACTCACACACTCATTCATCAATCAATTCACTTGCAAACTCATTCATTAATTCACACACTCATTCATTCATTAATTCATTCAATTAAGTCAATTCATTAGTCATTCATCCATTCATTCGTCCATTCATTCATTCACCTCCATCCAAGATCGAGTTCTTCCAGTAGCTTGCAGTTCATAGCCAGCTTGTTTAGGCTCTCATTTGTCACCCCAGTAGCCCTCCACAGATCCAACGACTTCAAATTCCTTTAGAATCATCATCATCATGATCATCATCATCACCACCACCATCATCACCATCATCATCATCACCATCATCACCATCATCATCATCACCATCATCATCATCACCATCATCATCATCACCATCATCACCATCATCATCATCACCATCATCATCATCACCATCATCATCATCATTATTATTATTTATTATTAATATTTATGATTATCATTGTTTACTGCTGCAACATTACCAAACGTCTTAATCATTCCACTTTCTATCTGACATATTTTCATCAGCCTTACCATAATTATATTTAATACTGCCATAATTTCATAATTCGCCATAATTTCATAATTCTTTTTTCACACAGCAGGAGATAGAATTCGATACGAGAAAGATTGTATATCGGATATATGGGAGAATGATACATGTGAAATCAAGGTTGATACCTATGAAGCCTGCACATGCTCCACAGACATGTGTAACGACCAACTACAAAACCCTGGTATGATGATAACACTAATAATAATATAATTAATAATATAATATAACTAATAATATAATATAATTAATAATATAGTATAGTTATTAATATAATATAATTATCAATGTAGTGTTAATTTGAGTACTTTATTGTTTCAATTTTCTTTAATTTGTGACCATAATTAGTAGCGGATGCACGAGTTAATTTCAAAATTTTGAATTCGATACCTTTGAATTAAATTAACGCTTTTATTATTATCATTATTATCATTATTATCATCATCATTATTATTATTATTATTATTATTATCAATTATAGTTAACTTTTTAATAATTATATTTGCAGTCAGATGATAAAATATAACAATGAGCGATTTATAATATTTTAAAAGTTAATCCGTCTGTAGTGAAGTGCTATTCGTGTCGATCAAGCGAAGATAAAGAGGCAGACAGCAACAACAACAACAACAACAGCAACAACAACGACAACAACAACAATAATAATAACGACAGTATTGCTGATGATGATTCTTGTCAAACGCCTCTGTCAAACTTGACAACTTGTTACGGAGAATCATGCTACATGGAGCAAATCAATGGAAAAGGTAAATGGGAACTCTTTTATTTTTTTCCAAAAAAGGGGCGAAATAAATATTCAATGAAATAAAATAAAATAAAATGAATTAAAATGAATTAAAAGGAGAAAGTAGTCTACGATGCTCGCCATTATAGATATAAAATGCGTACAACGAGAAATGTAATCAGTCTTAATATAGTTATTATACATTTGAATGTCTGTCTATAATAATAATAATAATAATAATAATAATAATAATAATAATAATAATAATAATAATAATAATAATAATAATAATAGTAATAACAGCAATAATAATAATATGATAGCTACAATGACGATACAAAGCATTAGATTAGCTTAGATTAAATTTCCCACCACCTTAAGCTAAACCACGCGAAACTGCAAAAAAAAACATTACATTAAGAACATTACATTAAGAACATTACATTAAAAACATTACATTAAAAACATTACATTAAAAACATTACATTAAAAACATTACATTAAAAACATTACATTAAAAACATTACATTAAAAACATTACATTAAAAACATTACATTAATTGTTAATTTTTTCCACAGTAACGTATAGGGACTGTTTAGCGATTGCCAGTAAGACCAGCCAAACAACATTAACGATACCAATCGGTGACAATAACACAGCTGTGACATTAACAGCCTACACGTGCAGTTATAATCTGTGTAACGGAATATTGGCGGCCAAAAATTTCGCCTGCAATCGTTACTCCTTCAAGATGATGATGACGATGGTGATGATGATGATGGCGGTGGCGGTTTGGTTATGATAGTGATGATGATAATGTGAGTGAATGATGATGGGGAGGGTTAGGATGATGAAGATGATAATGATGGTACCTGACTGATGTAGTTCTACGGTGTGCTAAATGAAAATACAATCCTTCAAAAACCATCTTGTTATCTGTTCACATGTTTCAATACGTTACTGTCCAAGAACGTTTTTTATTGGTATATAAATTTATTTATTTGTTTTTAATATCACAAATGAAAGATATCTTCACGAGAGAATGTATGTATCTCTTAAATATCATGTATCCATTTCTTATGTATCCTGTATGTATCTCATATGTATCGATGTTTGTATTTTTTATGAATCATGTTTGTACCTCTTATGTACCATTGTTTGTATCTCTTATGTATCGATGTTTCTATATTTTATGTATCGTTGTTTGTATCTCTTATGTATTATTGTTTGTATCTCATATGTTTCATGTTTGTATCATTTATGTTTTGTTTACAGCAAAACAACCGGTTTTATTTTCATAGATAAATTCACATTGTATTGACTAGCCTAAGCTTATTGAGTCAAAAATATTTACACAAATATTGAACCAATCAATTTTTAAAGTGTATTCATTGTGGTAGTCATAATTTTTTCATTATTATTAATCATTATTATTATAATTATTAATATTATTATTATTAATTATTGCTAGTTGTTGTTATAATTTATTTCAAAAATTCCAAAAATCAAGGCATGTTCAGTCTCTTTCATTTCTATTCTACCTGCAGATGAATTGAAAAAATTAACATTACATTATTTTTTCTACAATGTTGCAATAGTTAGACACACACAACACACACACACGCACACACACATACAAACACACACACACCTGCATACATACAAACACTCATACAAACACATACAAACACACACATATATACAAATACCAAATACTCATACAAACATACACACATACACATACAAACACACACACACATACACAAACAAACATACACACACATTACCTCTGATATCTGCTCCTGACGGTGATAAACACAACACCTATGGCCACAGCCACAAAGACGAACGAGCTGACGCCGATGATTATGTAGTCTACGTAGTCCAGCGGATAGGGACCTGGAATCCTTTGAAAAGAATTGTGTGCGTTACGCGCTTTTTCTTGGCACATACGCACACACGTACATTTACACACACACATCATACATACACACATACGTTAGCGTGTGTGTGTGGTGTGTGTGTGTGTGTGTGTGGTGTGTGTTTGATGTTTGTGATTTTGTGATATCGTTTCATTATTCGTTACTGTTCAATTTAGATTTTGAAACTGAATGAAAGTATAATGCTAGTTAGTTAGTTAGTTAGTAGAAAGAATCTCAATCAGTTCTTATATAATCATCTCAATCAGTTTTCATTTTATCAAATTGGCTTTCATAATGCTGACCATTAAATCAACAATTAGATCAAAAAACATCTGAAATCTTGAAAAAATTAAAAAGTTCAATCTGGAAAACTCCAACCCGTCAGCATCGTGGGCACCTTTTACTGTTGAAACTACATTGAGAATAATAACTAACGCTATCAGCCTTGATAATAATTTATTATTATTCATATTATTATTCATATTATAATTATTCTTTTTATTATTATTATTAGTATTATTATTATTATTATTATTATTATTATTATTATTATTATTATTATTATTATTATTATTATTAAACATGTTGTAATAGTCAGTATAGATTCTGGATTTTATGTAAACTTTTAAAGATAATCTTAAATGAAAAATGAACGATGAATCGGTAATTGGTAATTCCTCTTGGTTTGAAAGACTCTTTAAATTTATGGAATTCCGAAAAATATAATTAGTTAATTGATTAATTATTCAATTAATTCTGTGATTATTTATACAGAGTATTTAATTTAATAAATAAAATGTCTAGTTACAATGTAATAATAACGCCTAAGTATAATGCTAACAGTTAAAAACAACGACGAGTCATAGCTAATTTATTTCAATAACTCTTAAAGCAATGATATATGGTGATATATATATAGAATATATATAGGATATATATGATATATTAGATATATAGGACATATGTAGGAAATATATGATATACAGGATGTATAAGATGTGTAGGATATACTACTGAAAATTACATGTATACATTTTTATACATTACAATCTCGTATTGATAAATAAAATATTTATTGCTGAAGATTATTATTATCAACACTTGATTCGTCGTTTTCCCTCTCTCTCTCTCTCTCTCTCTCTCTCACTCTCTCTCTATCTATCTTTCTATCTATCTATCTATCTATCTTTCTCTCTCTTTGCTTCTTCTTTTCTTCTTTAACTACAATGATTTAAGATACAAGACAGATAATAAATAAAATTGATACATCCTTTCATGCTATAATAACAAATAAATGATAATTAACAGTTATTAGTATTGTATATGATGAAATGTGATTATGTTTAAATTTATAATAGAAATTGTGTATGTGTGTTTGTTTGTATGTATGTGTGTGTGTGGTGTATGTGTGTTTGTGTGTGTGCGTGTGTGCGTCTGTATCGTCAAAATGTTGAGAGCTGATGATCACTTCAGTATTGATATGGAATTCATTATTTACAACTGCCAGGCAAAGTTCAACATATTTATTTATTTACGATGAATTATTTATTTTGACTGTTTCAGAACTAACTACTACTACTACTACTGCTGCTGCTGCTGCTGCTGCTGCCGCCGCTACTGCTTCTGCTGCTACTACAACAACTACTACTACAACCAGTAAGCAGATCAAATCACGTGAAAAAAACTGCTGACTGGTAGATAAAAATTTTTGCGTGGGTGTTTTTCTGAAAAAATTGCAAGGAAAACATGGAAGAGAGAAAGAAAGGCAAGACAAATAATTGTTGCTTTATGTGTTTGCGTGTGCGTGTGTGTGTGCGTGTGTGTGCATGTGTGTGTGTGTGACACAATGTGTATCATATATAGCCCAAGTGCTTTAAAAATCACCATCCTCTCAACAAAGATGCCGTTACGTTCGCGAGTTCTATATAATTTGTGTGGATAATATATTGTATGGATTTTGTATGGATTGGATTTAGGTATACATATACATACATACATGC